CAAAGAAAGTAAAGTCGCAAGATTGAATTTCCAAGAAATTGACGGGATATCTACACGCGATGGAGCCCTTCGAGGATTTCGGCGGTGCCTTGAAGAGGTGACCGACAATGCTGTGAATGATATCCTGCATCCGTGGTTGTTACAGCATTTTAATGAAGACGAGCGGGGCTATAAATAGGGGGAATTTGAGGTGATTAGTTGTCACCTTGACGTCCTCGTTGGTTTATGTTTGACAAAATCAATATCGCGACGATGCATTAAGCCGATGCCTACTTTGCCAAAGCTGGCATATAAAGCTTCGAGACAGTTAGGCGGTATGACTTCTTCACTCGGCGCAAATTGAGATGATATTCAACGAGACTTTTGCCAGCTTATAGTTTCCCATCTACATCCTTCTTAAGGAATACGCGTTTCCCAAACAGCAGCTCTATCAAGTGCACGCAATACCGCCAAGAAGCGACTACCTACGGGTTAAGAAAGCGCTTACGGAGCAACTTCTTCGCGATCGTTTTGCTCGAGTATGAGTGGAAAGCCAATCTGTATAGGCGTTTAGGAGTTGCGCATAAGTGTAACGAGTAACTCAAAAAACTTTAAGACTGTAATAACGGCATAAATTGAGTAAAGGTCCGCGTGATTGTGCGCTTGCAGAGAGAAAGCTGCATTTCATGAGCCGCGTCTAGCTAGTCACCGACGAGCTGGATATCGTCGTGGATTTCACTGCGAAGTTTCAAAACAATTTCGCGGGTAAAAAGGGGTACGGGGGGTTCGAGATTCATTCAAGCAAGAAGGGTTATCGCAGTAAGCAGAACCTCTTCCTTAGAGAGCGTCTAGGCCATATATAGCTGGGTGAGGGCGGATAGATTTTTGTTTGGGGCTTCAATGTCATGTTGACTGCTCCCATTGGCGAACTCCTCGGCGTCATCATCGATAATTCTTCGGCCGCGTAGGCCGCACTTTGAGCTGACAATGTTGAGCCGTGAAAATCGGTGCATGGGATCGGCCTCCTACCGCTAGTACGCTCAGCAGAGCTGGCATACTGAAGTGCAGGGAGTGGCATAGAATATCAGGTGTAATGGTTGCTACGAAAAGGTCGCCTTTCGCAGTGTGTCTGAACTGCGAATTAGTTGCGATCAGGAGGGACAACAGGAGAACGTCTTTGATTTTGTCTCCTTAGTCTTTATACACTTGGTACAATTGTATCACATAAAAATACAGTACGCAATACGCAATTCACAATACAAACATGATATCTGCGCAACAGTACACAACTTAGCCCGTTACACCACGTGTCCCACTAATCGAGTCCCATAGTTATCATTAGTTTCGATACTTGGCACCTCTGATGTAAGAAATGTATTCTGGATTTTGTTTAATTGTTTAGATATGCATGATACAAAAATGTTGTGTATACGTTCTCAAAAGTACAGACCTCGAAGAATTTACAAATGATCAATTCTGGACTGGTTCAAAAGGTTGGCCCTGGTCTAAATAAGGCGCTCTTATTGACAATGCAAAATGGTATAGCTTGCTTTAGTTTGTTTTGCCTAAAACACTTTTGTTGATTAAGCAATTTTGGTTTTAATTTTAAATGTAGTTTTGAGCATCAGTTAAGAACGTAGGGGCTACTGGTTGTCGAGTTAGTCACAGTAGCTATATGGTATCTTTTACCCGGCATTACACCATTCCACTGGGGACCAATAATAGGCTATGAGTGAATATTATTCGGTGAATCTTGAACGTTTATGTGCTTAGGGCTAAGGTTGTGGTTATTTTTGGAGTACGCGGATTGCGATCCGCCACACTCGTAATGATTTTATGACGAAGATCAGTAACCTTAACTAAGATTTCTCCAAGCGAAGAGGAGCGGCAGCCCCGCTGCACTAGGTAGCACTTGTGGTCAATCTACACCTGAGTCGTCACGACTGATCCTCTGCGAGTGCGGAGCAGGTCGCTTAGTTGCTCCGGGGCATGCAGGACGGGCTTAAAAAGCTGATTTTCTGCTTGGCCCTCAGGGTCGCTTCGCAAGGACCTGAAGCGATCGGCGCGCGCGCCTAGATGCGTTTCGAGCTATGAAAATGCTCTGCTAGATCACTTTGAGCAGAAGATGTCGGCGTCGACTGCGTCCATAACGCCACCGTCGACGACGGATCTCTTTTTTTCATCCAGACCGCTCATGGTGAGCAAGGATGGAGACGATCTCCTGCTCTGGGTATGAGAGGCCAAGATGGTTATGGCGTCCGCCATGCTCCAGACCGAGCATCAGCGCACGGCGCTAGCTATCTTCAAGCTCGGTGGTCGAGCGCAAGAATAGGCACTGACGTGCGATACTTCGGTTGAAGCGGCGCTTACCTCCCAAGCGGAGCTGAAGCTGCAGTTTTTACGATTGTTGACGCCGCATAACCAAGCATATCGCATGTGCTCGCGTTTCCTTGCCATCCGTCAGGGCAAGAAGGAATTGGTGGACTTTGCCTTAGAGTTGCGTACTCTCATTCCGGCATAGTACCCGATTATCTCCCCGAGGCGGTCACAGGGACCATTATGGAGAGCCTCAGGGTGGAGTCAAGCGATACAAGGCGTCTTAAGTGGCCAAAGGGTTCCCAAAGAAGTTTGGCATCGACTATGAAAAACTTTACGTCGATCCATGCTTTGCTCAGTTAGGCTACCAAGAACGGATTATTGATTCATCAGATGGATGTGAAGACAGCGTTGTTAAACGGTCACCTTGATTAAATTATCTACATGGCGTGGCACAGTCTGAGGCTTTACGGATATGACCAATTCCGACTATGTATGCGAGTTTCAGCGGTCACTGTACGGGCTAAAGCAATCGCCTCGCATGTGGAGCAAGACCATTGATGACTTCATGCTGGGATTGGAAACGATTTGTTTGACGGATTTGGGCCAGCTAAAGTTCTTACTTGGTGTTGAAAATGAGCAAAGCATCACGATCAGGACTCTGATGACGCGGCAAACCAAATTTACTTGCGAGATTCTGAACAAATTGAATATGGACAACAGCAAGCCCGTCAGAACCCCTCAAGATTGAGAAATCAGGCTGACCAAGTCCATGTGCGAAGAGGTATGAAATACAGCGAGACTATGACTGATGTGCCGTATGAAAATGCTGTTGGCTGCCTGATGTACCTAATGATCGGCACGCGTTCGGTCTTTGCCGCGGCAGTTGGAGCGCACAGCCAATTTGCAGCAGACTCGTGCCCAACACACTGGCAAGCGTCGAAGAGAGTCTTCAGATACATTTACAACACAAGGACGCACGACATTAAGTTTCAAACAGAATACCATTCTCGATTGCAAGGATTTTGGGATGCGGAGTGGGCCGGAGGCACAATGTCGCGAAGGAGTACAAGTGGCTGCGTCTTTTATGATGAGCGGTGGATGTGTCAGCTGGAAGAGCAAGAAACAGCGCATTATGGCACTATCGTCTACGGAGGCTGGATACGTGGCATTGTCAGAGGCTACGCACGAAGCAATTTGGCTAAAGCTGTTTTAAGTGATTTGGGCAAGATGTCCTCGGATACAGTGGTCAGGTTTTTTGAAGATAACCAAGCTCGATTGCACTAGCGAATTACCCGGAATTGTACAAGCAAACCAAGCACATCAACATTCGATACCACTATGTTCGCGAAAAGGTAGAAGATGATCAGAGGATTCTCGAAGATATTTCTACTCTCGACATGATGGCCGACATAATGGCCAAGTCAATTCTAAACGCAATTCTGTATACGTCAAAACAAGCTGGGCATACAAGAGTCAAAGGCTGCTGAGTCGAGTGGGAGATTTGTCAAAGATACTGTTGAAGAAACGCCTTCGAGCAGCGACAACATATCGGTAAGTACCGATACTTGCTTCAGTTGATGACTGCTTGAAGGAGCGAATCCAAAACGAGCAAAAAATTGGTATCAGAATGGGAATCGTTGCGACATGATCAACCTTGGAATGGTGTCATTTTGTAATTGATTGAGATAAATGGATGGTTTGGGGGTAGCTTGTAGTTGTGAGCTAAGGGCATTTTGAATACATTTACTTCGCCTTTTGCTAACTAGTGCTCACTTCGACCTTTTCATTAGGCATGACAACTGTCTGTGTTGCCAAGGAGAACTCATAAATCGTGTTTATTTGGTCAGTAAGCCGTGCGTATCATACATCGTTGCGTATAGGGAGTTTCGTGAAAGAGCTTTTCCTAACAAGCTCTTCGTTCACGACAATGATAGATAAAGGTAAAAGTTTGACGAAGTGAACTTTCAATGATGCTCACGATACAAACGGTACTATAGGAGCACAAAGTGTCGGAGATTCTGAACAGTCATGTCAATTTAAAGCTGCCCATCACTTCACTAGACCAAGAAATATATAAGCACAAATGTCGGAAGGAATGGCAATCGTCTGTGTTGCCAAGGAAGACTCACAAATCGTGTTTGTTTGGTCGGCAACCTGTGACCTGATTTTCGGTAATGAAGGGATTATTTGCGTACGTATGACGACGAAAGGATTATTCCTTGGCAAATATTGAGCCGATAACCATTGGGCCACTCATTATCTCAGTCGCTGGGTGAGCCAACATCCTGCAGTATGAATTTGCCATATATATCGTATGATGAAAATTAGCGGATAATTAAAATAATTCTTGGCGCAAAACCTGGCTTAGTGATATAGAAACCCGCAGCACGCTCACTCAAACAAAGTTCTTTGCATCATAGTAAGGCAATCCATAAAGCTTTCATTTATAGAAGGTCAAGCACGTGCTATCCCATCTTGCAAGGAAATTCTTCGTTTTCAAACCTTCCGTAATATAATCGTTTGTTGCGATCATTGCTTTTGAGCATATGTTTGTGACTTTGCAAAGACAACGCTTCAGAGGTTAGGGTCATGGAAATTGTCTATCATTGAAGGACGATTTTGTTAAATTAAATGCTTCAGCTCCGATTTCATATTAGTATGAGAGTGGAGTGCATAGAAGATGGTTGATTATGGAAGCTGGTCTAGAGCTCAAGAAAGAGTGATGCACCGAAGCCCATACGCATACACATTTCTTGCTATTAGAATGTGCCATAATGCAACATTGTCAAATGCCTAATTAGCTTGAGCTTACAGCTGATTTCCTATTGATCATTCGCAACCTTCAAGCTCGCACACTTTATATATTCACAAGCTAAGCGCACAAAAAGTCATTTTTATGGTCACTTCAGGCATTCATTCACACAGGAGTCATGTTCGCTAAGCTGATCGACAATATAGATTTAGGAAGACGTACCATTTTTAAAAGGCGCAGCAAAGTATCAATTGTCGCTTTTTATCACGACTAAATGAAATCATGTTTGCGCACAAAAATACGATTTTCCGTCTCCGTGTCTGTTTTCTGACACATCCAATGTAAAAACATAATATAAAAGAAATACGAAGGGTCTATTACAAAGCAAGCGTTCACTTTAATATTCACGAATGATTTTGTGCATGAATGTTGCACTTAGTTTTTCGCAAAGCTACACCTACCTGTCCAGAATGGTTTAACATCGCTACATCTGTAGCCAGATCGTGGACAACCTTTTCTTTTGTTATATCAATTGCACATTTATCTCTTGTGCTATCGCATCTACCATGCTCGCGACTGCCCACCATGAATATACTTTTTTCTTGACCGCTTCCGTAGAATGCGAAATTAGCCAGTCATCTACATTAATTGAAATCTGTCTTCGATTAAATGTGTGCCACCTTCAATAGAGATTCCAGTCGTAACAACTTGTTAGCTTTCAGTCTGGGTTGTTCCAGGTACTACGATTATAAACAAGTAGAAACTTCGACGTAAATTTCACTGTAAAATATTGATTGGATTTAAAGATTCCCACACCATGTCACGAAAACATACATTGATTACCATACCTTTTTTCTTTTGTTTTGACAGCATGGACCTCGACAGGGATACTAGCTTCAGCAATACAGGCTAGCGTCTGCTACTGATAAAAAATTGTTCTGCTTTAGATCCGAAATTATTATCAAACAAAGCAAGTCATGATTTGCGAAGCGGCAAAATCCTAGGTGAAGCTTTCACTTCGGGTTTTACCATCCATTTAACAGTTTAATACCTGCTATTAATACTTTCTTCAATACAATGCCCGTACCCCCGATGGCAATCAAGCGATGACGCGGTATTTATGCTGGACAAAGAACGATTGGCAGGGTGGCTTACAGTGGCACCATATTGCACTTGACCCCGCACAGGAATGACTTGCTCGAATACAAGGACCTCACGCATCGAAGTAACAGCAAAAAGTCACTCTTCAAAGAAACCGGCGCCCTGAAATTGACCGGTTTGTATGTAATGGGAATTCTCTGATTGAAGTTTTTATATGCTAAGACTTGATAGAAGCAAAATCCCTAAAACGTTTGAGCCAAATTCGAGGATCATAGTGCTACGTGTACCGATTGTTGTCTGTTGGTAAGCTTGCGGGACGCGGTTGTTTTCAAGTTTTTCCTGAATAGAAAGGTGGTTACATCAGGTTCAGATCAGTAAAGCATACATGCTCGACTTTCAGCAGGAATTTGCAGGCTACATAGAGTCTTATAGGACTGATATTCTGTGGGGCTAATCGCATAGTCACCCAAATAGTCATGCTTTATTAAAGACACATCACTCAACCAAAGATATCCCGATGGAGAAACACGGCACAGAAGCCACTATCAAAGCTATAAGATAAATTGACGAAGGCTATGTTTAAAGCCTAGTGAATCGACAGCCAGTTCAGAAATAACCCTCGAAAACTGTCGAAGAACCTGGCACAGACGTCGAAGTAGACGATGTTAAGAGAACAGTAAATGCCAGCATTCATTAGCTAAAGCCTTTCAACCGTTCTGTTGAGAACAGGTTGGAGCTGGCAAACCATCATGCATGAATTAATACGCATCACGAAGATCGTTTGCTGTTCCGGCTTGAAGTGGATCAATCAAGATGAAGACATGAGCTTTTACTTATACCTGCTCTGACGAAGGGGTGACAGACAAAAGTGATGCCCCATAGACACCGGAAAGTGCTAGGATTGACGAAGACAAGCACATTGCTCATGATGTCCCTGCGTACATGATGACAAATGAGGCCGAGACAAACTTGCCGAACACATCTGCTTAAAGTGACAGTGCAGCGAAAGCTGGATTTCGACCCCATGAGCAGAACCAAACATGGATGTCAAAGCAAAGTGAGAAGAAGAACCACACGAAAGATTACGACAGGTCTTCGCTCAGAATCGTGATTAATATGGCACTGCTGTGGTGCTCAAGCCACGACTTGTCGCGGAACGGTTTTCAAGCAAAAGGATGTAGTCAAATTTTTCGAGACCCATTTCTCGGTCGCCAACATGAATCCAAATGCGGTGATACTTGCAGTATATGCTTAATGCGACTACCAAATGAAACCGCTGGATGCTGATACTGCTTTTCTCAACAGTTTGCTTGCCGACAACATTTTTATGCAAGTTCCGCTTGGTGTCGACAATACCCAGGAGTACGTATGCCAACAGAAAAGGCTATAATAAACAGGTTGAAGCAAGCAGCAAGTGCCTGAACAGTAATACATCGTATCTTTGTGAATTATGGCTTTAACGGCTGCGGAGGGTACCAGTGCGTTTATGCCAAGCGACCACGATAATATTTTACTTATGACTATATGTGGATAACATGATTGTTGCAGCAAGAACTAGCAGGGAGATCAATCGAAGGAGAATAATGCCCAGAAAGACATACAACAAAAAGGCGTTGGGCAAGGAGGAATTCATTTTACGCATGGAGATTGACCTGGACAGGTCATCCAAAACACTAATGATCAAGCAGACTTGCTACATCGAAAATGTGGTCAGACAATTCGGTGAAAAAGATTAAAAGAATGTCGACAACTGTGCGCATCAAAATTGAAGTGTCGTCATCGCTGTTGCCTACAACGAAAAAGGGGCGTTTGGCGATGCGCTTGAAAATATATCTGTTCATGACTGGTCTCCTGCTGTATATAATTACATATACTCGACCGGAAGTTATGACATTGATAACACAGCTGTCACATACCTGGAGAACCCCAGGCTGCAACTTAGCTATTCGCATGCTATGCTGCGTGAAGAGTACACACTTAGTTGGTATCGTTAGCCAAGGCAGTAGTAACATTGGGAGTAGGGCGTTTCCAGATGCTAATTAAGGAGCAATACCGTCGACAGACCCTCGGTTCCCAGAGGTATGATCATGATTGTAGGCGCGCCGGTGGTGTTAAAGTCAAAGTACGAGCTTACCGTTGCACACAGCTCGGATTAGACTGGATATATGACCCTCAGCTCTTGTAGTCAAGATTTTTTTGGACCCGTGCGATGCTTAAGGACATGTATCAAGAGCAAGTAGAAGGTACACGAGTCTGGAAAGACAACCAAAGAGTGATCGCATTAACCAACAACGCCGGATACCATGCTCTGATGAAGCACGTGGACATAAGTCACCACTTCATACGCGAGAATATGCAATTAGGACGATCGGAGATCGACTACTTGACGCGAAGAATCAGCTTCCAGATATGCTGACGAAAGGATTCGGAGCCAGGATGCTTTCGTTTATACGCAGGACAGCGGGTATTTAGACCAATCCGATACCAAGGATCAACAAGCATTAATGGCGGGTGGGATTGTTGAGATTACGCTGCTTAATATTGTTGCGGGTATTTGCCTATTTTACATGCAGAAGTGATACATGATAATGACGTTTTACATAGCTGTTAACTCAGTGTGGCCCCACATTCATGATTGAAGGGTTCAATTCCCTCAATTACACAGCACTGTGGTGTACCCAGCCACCACCTACGTCTCCTTGTCCTTCTAGATGATTTTACTGCACCAGATTGTAAGTATTACGGTAAGGTTATTTGGTATAGATAGAGATAGCAATGTTAGGACAAGAAAGACATAGGAACAAAACACGCTTTCCATCAGATGTTAACCATCAAATTGACAATCCGCCGCTGAAGAGGAGATTCGGTACCTCTAATTTGTGTGTTTTCTTAATGAACCTTGTAGTGCTTGATTTTCAAACGGTAATGTGTTTAGCTTTTTGGCTTACTCAAATTTTATTTGGAGACACGAAATACTCACCTACACATAAATTTAGCGCCATTCTAACAAAAGCACAAAGAAAAATGAAGTTTCGATTGCTCAATGTGTCTACTTAAGCCTCAATCTGCTTCTTGCAGCTACTTAAATGCAGTAAATGCGTCAATATATCTTTTAGTCTGTCTTTTTAGTCTGAATGCTGCACAATCTTGTGAACTTCCAGCTTGACAAGCAACCTATATGTATGTGAGATTTCTGCAGTTAAAATGTCACATCTTACTTTGTCTTTTTGTTTGACATGAATGCAAGAATTATTATGTACCAAATGTTCGTCATACTGACGTCACATTATATTTCATTGCCTACCTCAAGTTAAGAACAGCATTTTCGACGTTACAATATTGGGGGTTTTCTTTAAAATCACATCCTGTCTGACCGCAACAATCAAGATGTCTGGTTATCGATATTTAATTAATAGACCAGACAATTGAAAGGGAAAGATGTCACATGTAACAACAGATACAACGTCAAATACACTGCCAGGACTATCGTGGTTATCACCCGAGACACTATCAAGGTCGAGCTTTATTTCAATTTTTGTAATTTTCTATTTTTCAGTCAACCAAAAATAGGATGGCACGATGATATTTTTAATTTCATCTTTCATGCGAACCTTTCATTGAAACCTCAGAAGCGTAAACTAGCAAAGCTTTAAAAATCTAAGTCAGCTCAAGTTACAGATCTTTCGTCTTCCCATGGGCGAATTTACTGTGCAGTATCTTGACAACTGCGACGATGTGACACTAAATTTCATGAAGCCTTGTGAGTCTTTATGACTGATATTTTCGGAGTACTTTCAGCTGATTTAGCTCTCAACAATCACGCGCTCCAAGTGGAAATAGTGAACAGGTCCTACCACATCTATGGAGCACCTTTAACATGTTCTTTGCCGGTAGAAACTTCTTTGACGCTCGACCTGGTGGTCGAGGCCCCTGCGGCTCAAGAGACGGATTGCGTCGTTTTTAGCCTTTTCTGATACCGAAGGCAAGCTCTGTCTAATGATATTATTATCCCGAACGCTTCACAGGCGCATATTATTACCGATTTGGAAAAAAATCGACGACAACCTTAAACATTATGCTTCACGTTTTAACAGAGGAGAAGGAAGCAAGTTCAAAGAAAATGATAGGGTTGAAAACTTCAGAGCATTTATTGTCTATGTCCCTTTAGCGATTGTAACGAATGTGTATTTAATGATTTTGAGCAACGATTTGTCGTCAACTGATGAGGTAACCTTCTAAAAAATATTTCTAATTGTTGCGCTTGAGCAGTGATCTTTTGTTCTCTACGAAAAAATCTGCTCAATCAGTTAAGAAGCGACCCCTTAAGTTTTACGATGGGCAAGTCACCTGTGCGTCGAGTATTTACGCTCGTGTCATCAAGCAGTGTGCTAAGCTATCGTCGGAAGATTTCTGAACCTGCTGACAATCAGCAGCTCGAGCAGCAGCCAGCGGCCATGGAGCAGCAACAGCAACAAAATCATTTAGATCACAAAAAATATCAACCAACACTTCAATCTCAGCCACATCCACCAAGCATCTCCAGCACCAACAATCATCAAGGTACAGAAAGAAAGATGCAATTTACCCGTCGCATGCCACACAATCCAAAACGACCGCAACGTGCAGTGGTCAAGCAGCGGCGGTGGAAGCCCAAGATAACGCAGCCTGTCCTATTGCCGCAGCGAAGCTGGAATAAAAGTGGGAAGGAAGTAGACGATGAGGAGGAAGACGAAGAGACAACTTTTTTTAAAGCACAGCGCCGGACGCAAAAGCTGCTGGCGAGCGCGGCCGATGGAAAAATCAAGAACGCGATAGTGACGAAAGTTACAACGTCTGAGATTTTTTTGGCGGAAACATCAAGTCAAGAAACGCAGAGTGGATCTGAAGATGAGAACTTGTTCATGCCTTACAGCAACCTGTCAACGTTTGTGCGGTCTCCTGCCCAGCTGCACGGAGTGAAACAGCAGGAGACTACGGCCGTACAGATGGAGCAAAAAGAAGTTATTAAACAGATACGGCCGGTGAAGGCGATAGCAAGACGAACGGAAGCCCAGGAAGCGCGGAATTCAGGTCAACCTTTGATTTGGTGGAACCAGTGCCAAAAAGTCAAGCGGCAACAAAAGCAAAAGCTTGTGGCAGCCAAGGATCAAAAACGGCCTTTACGCGAACAAAGGCAATTGCACATGGACTTAAACACGCATTCATATGATGTTGTGGATGCGAATGAGGGCAATTCACTAAACGAAGACATTGTTGAAGTGGATATATTTCATGCTCCTTTAAATCTAGCGACTGATTCAGATGCTGAGGCCTGTCGTGCTGTACTTTCGCAGTTGAACAAAATTGTTCCATACATCGTGGTTGGCAATGTAGCTTGTCCTATTGCAACTAATGGGCAACGACCTATGCGGGCTGGTATGGCGGAAAAGGGCAAAGCTGTTGACATGATTATGGAGGATTTTTGCCAGCACCTGATTCAAAAGACACAGATGCGATATCGCGATAGCTTCGTGGTGGAAGACTCAGGGTTTGATGCAGCTTCGAGCTACGACTTTTTTAATAGTCGTACGTACAGGTTTTTAAATATCAAATTTGAATGGTGACCTGATGTATATTTTGGTGCAGGTTTCACAGAAATCCAAAATAGTACCAGCATTGTGTACTTCTAACGTTGCAAGTAATTTTTATACCGCTCTGAAGCAACAATATCACCATTCCAGAAGATTTATATAACCTGAGTGATCGAGATTTGGTGGAAGACTCTGTTCCGCTTAACGTTCGTAAGTTCCTAAGAGCCATGTACTAAATACACAGTTGGATCAATTAAAATGTACTATATGTAAACATGAGAATGAAAATTGAAGCTCGGGTCTAATGTGGAGATGCAGTGGCATTCTCATCTTCTACGTCTGTGAGTCAACATACCTTTCTATTTTGAGGAGTTCCGTCTGCAGCGTTTGCGCGAAGACATTTTCATCTGAACAAAAGCTCTATCTCATTTATAATTGTGGCCGTAAGCTCATATGTGAGCAGATCAGTCAGCAACTTCTTTCTTCCAGCAGCGAATCTGCGTTCCAATCGCCATGGTAGAATGCAGCTTCACAAATCAACAATGCCATAAGAAATCTCTCACACTAAAGTGAGCTCGTAGACAATCAGTGACACGTTTGTTACGAGCCACTCTTTTCTCTACATATTTAGCTCTATGGCAAAGTGAACGGTATCTTCCAATGGTTAGGTCGTGGTGGTATACGCGACAACTACAGACGTTACTCGACACTTCACCTCGCCAAACACATAGCTGGTATATGCGTACGCCGGACACCTCTTTTGCTATGGTGATGGGCAGGATCTGTATCGTGACTTTTTGGTATACAGAATGTTTGTCACACGCAATTTTTTATAATGAAAATTTTATTCGCCAGTTCTAAATTCGGCTTAAGTATCGGTCATATTTACTGTTTAGCCACACACTTAGCAACTCTGAGATTCAATAGCGCATCTTGGATCGTTATATTTAACTTCTTCACTGGACAGAACAACACATATGGATATCTGAGTCTTCACAATCCTACAGATTATGTCCATAGACTCCTAATGATGTCGGGGAAACACAAGACCATGGCTGATAGTCAACAGGAAGGGAATGATAGTCAAGGATTGGGAATGTAAGAGGCTATCCGATGCAGCCTCAAACCCGGCACGCAAACTTACGTTTGAGAAAAGACTTGATAAGGATGCGGTCTTACTGCAGTTCACTGTGGACATATCCAAGCGAGTGCCACGAATTCGAAACAATTCTTCCCAGAAGCCACTCGTGAGTCGTGAAATACGATCAGAGACGATGACGTCTGGCAACCCGTGATTGCGAAAAACGAATTCAACAAACAATCTAGTCGAAATTTCGGCATCGATGGAATCGCTGTATGGAGAGATGCAAATCATCATGTCGAGTCTATCGATAAAGGCAAGCACTCAGTTGTGGCCATCAGCATTCTCAGATCGTTTGCCGGGCCCATCGTCGGGTGGTCTCCTTTGCCACGAGCAATTCTCGAAGATAAAGTCGAGAACGACTCACTTCCAACAGAAAGTAAAAACAAAGAGAATCTACATTGGCACTTATATGTGCCGTGCGCTCTTCACACGCTGACAGACATCGCATGTCTTCACGTATCGCGTAAGCCACTTGTACATGCGGGACCGTTATAATTAGGCACCGAGATATTGGTAGGACTTCTCACGGCCAAAATGGCCGGCCATAGGTGTATCACGCGCCTCGTAAACAAACTTGAACTTCAAATTATCGTTGTGGGGAATCACAATTCATGGCTCGTCGCCATGTGTAGCTTCAGAGTGAAGGAGGTCATTCCGTAAAACTTAACACCATATCCATGATTTCAAGTGACCAGGAAGCTTGTCATGGAGTTTCATGTGAAGTGCCTTGATGATCAGATATCACGATTCATCCTCAACATATCATATCAAATACATTGCGTCCACGGATGAGTATGCCCAGCGTTTTACTCCCCAGGATGGAAATGTAGCCTGCGAATATGCTGATCCAGGTGTTGTGGATGCAACGACTGGCTTTGAAGTTACCAGAACATACTTTATTTCGCCACCATTACCGACAATGGAAGAGCTGCTGAAGAGTTGTACTTGAATCACCTCTGTGCGATGCTGGAATGTATAAGCGAACATTCAATGCAGCCAAATTTTCCAAAGTGTATTTTGGTACTAACAACCGGTCTTCGGTTGCTAAATGGATGAACACGGTATTCGTGCAGAACCTGAGAAGGGTATGCAGCGACTGCTTCGCAAAGAGAGCAGTGTTCAGTGGTTCGCGTGCCACTTCACGTGCATCACGGGGGCCTCGCCTTCGATGCCTCGGTCCCTGGCCGACCATGTCACGCATGACATGCAGCGACTGCTCTAGACTTGAGCAGCGCTCGGTGGGTTACGTGCCACTCCGCGATCAGCCCGCGAGCCACGCTCGGGACTCCTGTCCAATGCACCGTTGGTGTCTACCA